TCATGATTGCCAGAATGAGCTTATTAATTTTGGATTTCTCCCATAAAATGTATGCTTCGTTTGCAGTCTCTTCTGATAGTTGGATTATAACCTTCTTGTCGTGAAAGGAGAGGTTTCGACTTTCCAGCCAAGGGAACCCGATTTTGGAGTATCTGCATGTATTGAACCAGTGCATCATCCGATCGATCCGTTGCCCGGTGACTTGTTTGAACTGTTCTTTTCCGAAAATCAGTCGATTAACTGGCACATTTTGGCAACACACACGTAGGATGCCAGTAAGACAGCACTGTCTGTTGGGCAATAGATTTTCCCACACAATATGTCGCTTTCAAAAGCACCTTACACCTAAAAGTCGTTAAAACAATGTCGTGTTCGCCTTCCGCTGCCACCAGTGTAGCGTCCCGAGGCTTCCTATAGGTAAGTAGAAGGCATAAGTGAGGGTGAATACATGTATTCGGAAGACAACAGGGCAAATGGGGTCTGAGCATGGCCAGAAGGCCAGCCCACGTGTACGGGGTCCAGATAAATTCTAAAGTGACTACCAAACGTCAGGTAGTCACATAAACAAAGCATTATAGCACTGCATCCAATGCCAAAACATCAAATTAATGCTAATTATAACAATGTTCGTCTTTTACGTAAGGCTGGTCTAAGTAACTACCACCTCAAGAGAAGGTTGAAGTGTGCCCTTCAGCATTTCAATCTGCACCAATATGTACTTAGCACTGTTTTTTTGTGACAAACCTCAAGTAGGGCAGCATAGCTTCCAGTTATAAGGACAAATACCTTAATCCTTGTAAGACACGGACGCACTTATTTTACTGACAGCTATCCGATTTCCCAGTCCACAAGTCTTGTCCCACACAAATGACTTACACATACGCCCACGCTTACTAACATTTTTATTAGAAACTTGTAAACCAAAGCTCATGAACTCGCCAAAATATTGGCAAATACTTCATTGTATTTGTATTTAATTTAATTTTGCTGTTATGATATTAAGTCTAA